TTTGAATATTGCTCACTATGCAGCTGTGGGAGGGGCCCAGGGACCTTCTCCCCAGGGAGCTATCTGAGCAGGGACTCTATTTTGTGAGGGAATGCCAGGAAGTCATCATGCCCTAGGGGTTAGATGACATTTAAAGTTGCTTCTTGGGGGTGGGGCTGGAATCAGACCAGTTTGTACTAGTTGTTTTGATACTGTTAATAGGATCAGTCACTACTTTTTGCTGGGAATTTACCTCTCTCACCTCCCTGAGGGACCCACAACAATGGTTTCAAAGTTATTTTAAGCCACAGAACCACTTCTTCAAAGTAAATATAAGACTAAATTGACTGTATGTGTGACTGTGTAATATAAAAGAATACCTTTGTCCTTTATTCTGCATATCTCTCCCCTGTACCCCAGGAAGAAGCTGAGTCGTTAATGTTTCAAGGGCAGGATTTACCTTCTGTCTTCCATTCAGCAGCCCAGTGACACCTACTGCTCTTCCTGTGTAAAAGCATGCCTGTGAAAGTTACCTGATCCACCAGGAAAGTTCCAGAAATCCCAGGGTTGCTGGGATTTTATGGCAAAGAAAGTCCAACACAGGGAGACAAACGTCAGTTTTCCATGAATGGCATCTGTGCCAAGAACTCCCTAACAATGAGGAGCTCGGGTAGTCTTGGAAACTATGGCTGCAACAGTAATGTCTCAACATTAGATGCACCTCTCCCCAACATTTTTCTCTTACTCCCTTTTTTCAACCTCCTTGTTTCAGGTTTAATTCTGTTTCTGAGTTCTATTTCTGAATATGTTTGCATGCTGCAGTTTAAATCTGTGCAGTGACAGCTGATGTCGTTCAAACAAATGAAGCACAGTTGTCTAGTGTGTTATTCCCCACGTGCCGCCCTCTCCTCCAGGTGGAAGGATGCTCTGTGAATAGTTTGGCAACTTCACATTAGAAGATTATTGTCTAAAGTCATTTCCAAGCATCATACACGCCTTCTGTACTAATTAAGGGGAAAATCTGTCCTTTTGAATGTAAAAGACTGAAAGCCCAGTTGACCAGTGGGAGTCCCAGCCTAGTGTCAGTGCTGACTAGGATGGACAAGCTGTGAGGCCCTTGTGCTGCTGGGTGATCAGCTTCCAGTGGGCACTCAGGAGATGGGAAGGCACTGAGCTGGATGAGGAGAGCTGTACTGGGCTTGACCATGTGAGAGCTGGGATGGAAATTTGGGGAAAGACACACCAGGCTTGCCCTCCATGGCCCCCCATGGTGCCAGCTCTGGTCTGGTCCATGTGAGGACCTTCAGTGGCTTGGCACTCTAGGCCTGAGGCCTAATGGAATCACAGGGGGATCCTGTGTTCTATGTAGGAGGATGGAAGAGGAAGGAACCTGTTCAGATCAGCGTGGTCTGAGAAGCACAGAAGTTGGGAGACTCAGAACTCTGAGCTGGGATTGAGAACAGGGGAAAGCCAGGAGGGTGGAGACCTAGCTTGTCCTGTTCTCAGAGGAGGATGGGGAAGGAAACAGATTCCAGATGAGAATAAGGAGCCACTCAAACAGCTGCACCTGAATCCTGAAGCTGTGGGAAAGAGATATTCTGCCCAGGAAGGCCCTTCCCCTCCCTAATGGGGTAAGGTTCAGTGGCCTCAGCTGTCTGCTTGGCCTCCAGGACCCATGTATCTTCCCTTTCTCTTCTTCCTAGAATACAGGTATAAGAAATGTACCCTGAGCCTCAGGATAAGAGATTTTCTCTTGATGATATCAGGACCATCAGAACGAGAACACGGGAGAGACTGGGGCAGGAACGTACGTGCTGGGTATGAGTTTCGCATGAGCTTTGAGCCTGCATCACTGGGGATGGGAGGCTGGAGCAGAAAAACAG